TTCCATGTACTTGATTTTAAAATGTTTTCTATGCAATTATTATTATTGAATATTCTAGACAAGATTGGCTTTTCTGTCTGTATCCACTTGTGTACAGGAGCATATATTTGCAGTGTTTTCTTAGGATTGAGGATACAATTTGTTGCTCTGTCAGAGGTTACCTCTGACTACATAAGGAACACTGCTACTAATATTCTTTCAAAAAGAGGGGCTATCTTGTCGGCTAGGAGAACACATGTACTAAGTAGTGCAGACAGCATAAATATGGTGGTGTCAGGTGTCATATTCAAGCTGACCTGATAAAGAGCAAATCGTACAATGACATCCAATTGCCAGAGATTCATGAGCTTTAGAGTGGAGCATGGCACACCTCCTGGGGGTGTGAGGGTGGCACTGAGGGCCTGCGTTTGTGTCCTTTACCTCCTTAAAGCCTTCGCTCCAAAGCTGGCTTATGAAGGGACGTATGGCCTTGGGTCCCAATTTCATTATCTTGAATAGGCTGAGCCTACTGTGAAATAGCTGTGTATGTGTAAATATCAAAGGATCATTTGCTTGAATTACAGAAAATGGCTATAAATCTTCATTTTGCCATTTAGTAATCAATTTTTCATCTTAGATTTCTGATAGAATTGACCATTGGTTTTAGAAACCCTGAAAACTTCCATTACTAAACTTTAATAAGTAAAAGAATTCTTATGTTTGTGTTCTAATGCAGCCATAGTCAAAGATATTAAAATGTAAACTCCAATTCATTGGCTGCTGGGTCCCCATTATCTTGAATAGTGCCTGGAACCCAGCAGGAGCTGAGAAAATATCTACTAAGAGAATAGTCAAGCCTGTACATGTTTGATAATTATATTTAATAATTTTGTGCACTTCAATACTGACAGGAGATTGTGACTCTCAAGACAAATGAGCTGTACCAGACGATGCAGAGAGCACAGGAGCTGGCACAGAGACTGAGACAGGAACAGAGAATCCGAGAATTGGCCAAAAAGGGACATGACACTTCTAGATTGATTAGAAATCTTGGCAGTAAGTACTTGATTAGAAATTCACTTATATCTTTTGAAGAATAATTTAAGTATTTTCCTATTCTTAATATCTTTAATACACCTATTAACTAAACATTTTTAAAGGAATTTTAGACCTTGAGCTAATTTTTTAATGCTTTCTCTATTTGGGAAATTGCCTCAAGAGTAGAAATAATGTTACAGTTTTCATGTCTTTTCATGTAAATTTTGTTTGGTTCACAGTAGGTAAAATGTGTAATTATTACCCAGTTTTATGGAGAAATCTATAAAGTGGTTTGTCTAAATTCAGTAAGGGATAAGAATGCAGGTAACTTTTCATAAGAAACTTTAGGCTAGCCTTGCAAATTTTGTTGGCAATGTTCATCCTGATTGATTGAGTCTTGTGTGCATTTAGTTGCTGCTACACATAATTTCAATAATATTCCTGAACTGTCTTTTTACCAGATGATTTTCTCTCGCCAGTTGATAGAACACAAATGGAGTATAATGCATCTACTCACAACATTTCAGATTCAAGACATGACTCGGATGAAGTCAGTGATAAACTGAATACATGTGTCAATAATAGAGCCTCTCCAAAGAAAGATACTGCTGTGCAAACAGGTATTTGTTTACAAATTTTGATTTGGTTTAAAATTTACTTAAAATGAAAGTCACAAAAGAGTTTTTTTTGAGGTAATTCACATAGCATAAAACTTGCTCTTTTAAAAAAGGTTACAATTTAGTGGGTTTTTTTTGTAAAATACAATTCAGTTTTTGTGTTTAGAGTTGTGCAACCATCACCACAATGAACTGTAGAACATTTTTATCACACCACGAAGTAAGCTTTCCTCCTCAGGAGGCAGGGTCCATGTCCTCCTCCCCTGCGTCCCGGGGAACCACTAAGCTCCTTTCTGTCTCTATCTGCCTATTCTGGACATTCATATAACGAATCACACCCATGTGCCTGCTGGTCTGGGTTCTTTCAGTTAGGATAATGCTGTATGGTTCATCCATGTTGTAGCATGTATCACTACCTCTTTCCTTTTTATTGCTTTATAATATTCTGTTTTATGGGTATATCACATTTTATTTATTCCTGTATCAGTTGATGGATATTTGGGCTACTTCCACTTTTTGGTTATTATAAATATACTGTTATGAACTTTCATGTTCTGGGTTTTATATGGAAATGTATTTTCAGGTTTTTTGAGAAAGACGAGTAGTATTGCTGAGTCATGTAGTAATTGTATATTCAGCATTTTGAGGAACTAACAGGCTTCTTTTCCAAAGCAGCTAGCTAACTGTGCCATTTTACATTCCTACTAGCAAGGTATTAGGGTTCAAATTTCTTTGCATCCTTTCTCACACTTACTGTTCTTGTGGTTTTAAAGAGGCATCTCATGGTGGTTTTGAACTGCATTTCCCTCTGACTAATGATGTTCCGCATCTTTTCATGTGCTCAGTTTAAATGTTGCATAGGTAATAAGGCAGTATCATGTTGGGTATTAGGAATCCTTTCAGCCCTTCACCTATCTGGAGAATTTTTTTTTTTTTTTAATTTGGGAAATCTCTTCACCTTTCACTTTTTTTTTTAATTTCGGTATATTTAACATTTTCAGGTGTGTGACATAATGATTCAGTATTTGTATATATTGCAAATGATAACCACAGTAAATCTAGCTAACATTTTGTCATTGTACAGCTATGAAGTATTTTTTTCTTATGAGAACTTTTAAGATTTACTCTCCTAGCAACTTTTACATGTACAATACAGTATTATTAACTAGTCACCATGCTCTGTATATTATATCCCCAGGATTTATTTATATTTTAACTGGAAGTTTCTGCCTTTTGACCCCTTTCACCCATTTTGCCCATCTCCCTCACTCCCCAGCTGAATCACCCATCAATTTTCTGTATCTTTTTGTTTTTAAGATTCCACACGTGAGATCATACATCTTTCTCTGACTTATTTCACTTAAAACAAGGCTCTCAAAGTGTACACCTCTTGTTGCAAGTAGCAAGATCTCATTATTTTTTATGGCTGAATTCCATTGTGTGCATATATAATATTTTGTTTATCCATCTATTGATGGACACATACATTGCTTCCATGTCTTAGCTATCATAAATAATGCTGCAGTACACATGGGAGTGTATATATCTTTGCAAGATAGTGTTTTCATTTCCTTCAGATAAATACTTGGAAGTGGAATTGTTGGATCACGGTTTTGAGGTGTGATATATACCTCGCTGTGGTTTTGATTCGCATTTCCTTACTGATTACTAATGTTGAACATCTTTTCATGTTTTGTTGCCCATCTCTGTGTCTTTGGGAAACTGTCTAGATCTGCCCATTTTTAGTAAGTTTTTCTTTTTTTTGCTATTGCATTGTATGAGTTCTTTGTATTTTAGGTGTTAACAACCTTATCAGATAGATAACATGATTACAATCATCTTCTCCAATTCATTAAGTCGCCTTTTCATTCTGTTGATGGTATCCTATGTTGTGCAGAGGCTTTTGAGTTTGATGTAGTTCCACTTGTTTTACTTTTGTTACTTTTTGGTTTTTATGTCATAATCCAAAAACGTTAAGGAGTTTACTGTCTGTTTTCTTCTGAGAGCTTTGTTTTCAGGTCTCATATTCAGGTCTTTAATATATTTTGAGTTCATTTTTATGATACAGTTCATTCTTTGGCATTCAGCTGTCCAGTTTTCCCAATAACATTTATTGAAGAGACTGTCTTTTCCCCATTGTACATGCTTAGCACCTTTGTCATAAATTAATTGACCTTACATGTGTTCACTTATTTCTGGGCTCCGTATTTCTGTTCACTGATCTATGTGTCTTTTTGCCAGTACCATACTGTTTGATTCCTGTAGCTTTGTAACATAGTTTGAAATCAGAGAGTTTGATATCTCCAGCTATGTTCATCTTTCTCAAGAATGCTTGACTATTTGGAGACTTTCGTGGTTCCATATCAGTTTTAGGACTATTCTATTTCTGTGAAAAATACCATTGAAGGTTTGATCTGGACTGGATTAAATCTAGAATGCTTTGGGTAGTACAGACATTTTAACAATATTAATTTTTCCAGTCCATGAGCAAGGAATATCTTTCCATTTATTTGTGTCTTCAGTTTCTTTCATTAATGTCTGAAGGTCTTTTACCCATTAAATTTATTCCTAGATACTTTATTCTTTTTAATGCAGTTGTAAATGGTTTTTCTTAATTCTTTTGATAGTTCATTGTTAGTGTATAGAAACATAATATATTTTCGTATATTTTATATCCTGTAACTGAACTGAATTTGTTTTTGACAGTTTTTTGGTGGAGTCTTTATAAAAGAGTTTTCTATATATAGTATATCATCTGCAAATAGGGAGTTTTACCTCTTTCTTTCCAATTTGGATGCTTTTTATTTTTTTATCTTGCCTAATTGCTGTGGTCAAGACTAGACTCCAGTACTATGTTAAATAAAGTGGCAAGTGCAAGCATTGTTCTGTTACTTTAGGGGAAACTTTCTGCTTTTCAACATTTGAGTATATTCTATGTGGGTTTGTCATACGCTCCCTTTATTATGTTGACATGTAATCCTCTATACTCTTTTTCAGAGTTTCTATTATAAATGATACTGAATTTTGCCAAATGCTTTTTCTGCATCTATTGAGATGATCAAATGGTCTTTACACTTCATTTTGTTAATGTGGTATATAGCATTGATGTGTATCCTCTAGGCAGCAGCCACAAAACCCAGAGCATCAGACTCATGTAGAAGCTCCCCTCCAGTAGGTGCTGGCACTCTGGAGCAGGGCAGAGGGAGGGGGGAGAGAAGGCGCCCGCTGGGGAGGCAGGACAGGCCTGGCGTTTAAAGTTTTAACAAAGATGGTGCCCACCAGGTTCAGTTCCCCGGAGGGTATCCCAGCGAGCGCCTAGATGTGTAGTTAGAAGCTTGCTCCTCAAGTTGACACTTAAAAGTAAATGAATCCTTTTCAGATAAAGTCTGGATGCAACTGGCTGCTGCTTCTGCTCTGGGACCTGGGGCAAGTGAGTCAACACATAAGCCCCTCAAGAGCTTTCTTCCTTCCGCTGTAGCCTTGGGAGTCTTGTGGCCTTTCAAAGCTGGATGTTTGTGGAGTTTGTCTTTCAAGTGCATGTCTTAAAAGTTAGGGTGCCGGATGGAGGGTTCACACCCCTTGCTCATCAGGGAGAAGCTTAGGTTTTGAGGATTTTTTTCTGATCGTGAGTCACCGCACTGGAGTGGGATTTATGGCTAGACTGTCTCAGCCTCTCCTATCCCGCTTGATGTGGTCTCTTTCTTACTTATCCAATGTGTAAGTTACTGAAGCCAGTTTTTACTTAGTTTGTTTTTCAGATTGAATTGTTTCATATGTAGCTGTAGATGCAGTGTGTCTGCAGGAGAAGGTGAGTTCAGGATCTTCCTAGGTTGCCATTTTGAGATGGGACTCTTCACTTTTTAATTTACCAGTGGACCCTCTTCTCCATTTTTGTGGTCTTGGGGATCCCATGGTAGTGTAAAGAGACAAAAACAGATTTGGCTGGCATTAAGTTCAGAGGCAGGACTTCTCTAGCAGTATCAGAAAGCCACTCTAGAGTGGGCCAGCACAAAGCCTCAAGCCCAGAATGTCTTAAGGAGATTTGCCCCCTGGACAGTGCTGTTCTCTGCCAGTTAATTTTAGGCCTTACTTCAGTGCAATGTGGAATTACCCACATGTGACAGGAAGGTAGAAAGGAACCTTGAACACTGAGGTGGGGCCAAGCAGTTTGCCCGCCCAGCCCCTGCGTATCTGCAGTTCTGCTTATGAGGTCCTGGTATTTTTTTTGCTACGTTTGCTCTTACATGTGAAGAATCTGATTCAGTATATTCCCTGTATCTAGGTAAATGAGAAAGCTATATAAATCTTATCCCTCAATTCAGGGAAAGTGAAACAGTCTTTAAGACTAAAATTGTGTGTGTTATCACCAGGCAGCTCTAAACAAGGGGATTTAATCAGCCAGGGTCCCAAAATAGGATTCAAGATGATTTATTTTGAAAGGGACTATTTCTGAAGGATGGGTATGAAGGAATCAGAGCTAGGGCATGATTGTGGTGCCAGTATGAACCATGCTATTACTGGAACCTGAAGACAAAAGATACAGTGGTAGCTTTAAGGGGAGCAGTGACACTTGGTAAAGGGACAGGCACCTGCAGTCAACGCAGGGGAACAAGCCACTGGAATAAATAGCCTGAATTTTTTCCCTCCCTTCAACTTGCTAATGAACTTCTTGACAGAAGCAGAAGCCAGAGGACCCAGGAGCCCATTGGTACACGTGATACCAGTGAACCTGCAGGGCGGAGAGCAGGGGTGGTCAAGAGGGTGTGGAGTGAAGGCAGGCAGAGCAGCCTCACCAGGGATTGCTCCTAGACAGCTGCAGCCGAGTGACACACTTCTAAGTGTCTGAGACAAACAGCAATAACTGGACTGTTTTTTAGGGTTTTTAAAAATGTTTCTCAGATCCTTCATTAGCTAATTGTGAATTTACAGTTCGAATTGTAAGTGAAAGAAGGCCTTTGCAAAGTTGTCACTCAGATGGTTACACAGCTGTGGTGGCTGAGCGCCTCCCTCAATGTTATATTAGTAGGGAAATTTCAGACGTCTTCTTTGAGTGGTGAACTTTTTCTTTCCTTGGAATGGAGAGAGGTAAAAGGTTGTATGTGATTCAGGGGTGGTATGCAGGCTAAAGCACAATGGTATGAGTTAAAGATCCATGAAATGCAACATGGCTACAATCAGTAACATTTCTCAAAATTTAGTTCTGAGATTTTTCAGTTCCTTTGAGAAGAAACAACGGTTTCTAGATCCCTTTATATTTATGTACAGTTACTTTAAAATCAAGTAAGAAAAAACCTTACATATCACTTAGAAGCTTTTACATGGCTTATTTTGTCAGTTACCATTCATAGAAAAAATGTGAGCTCGACTCTCTCAGAAAATGTAAAAACCAGGACAATCCTGTGGAAAGTTTTAAGAATGGTCTATATTCTGTGATGCTAAGAATGAATTATCTGAAATTCTGATACCTGCTACAGCATGACCTTTGGAGACATGTTGAGTGCAATCAGCTGGACACAGGGTGGGAGTGGTTGCAGGAAGACACGCACATACCATTCCACTTGTATGAGGAATCACGGTGTGGGGGGGACACATTCGTAGGGACGGAAACTAGGATGCAAGTTGTTGGGGGTTAGAAGGGGGCAGGGATGTGGAGTCACTGCTTACTAGGTAGGCACAGGGGCAATGAACGATCTGGAATTTGTGGCGTTGAGAGTGTGCTTCATGCCATTGAACTGTATTCTTTAAACAGAAATTGGAACCCTTGTGCACTGTTGATGGGCATATAAAATGGTACAGCTGCTACAGAAAACAGTAGGGTAGGTAGTTCTTCAAAAGACTACACTTACCATATGATTTAGCAATGCCACCTCTGGGTATGCACCCTTCAAGCCAAGGCTGGGAGAGACATTTGCATGCCCGTGTTCACTCACAGCAGCCTTACAACTGTCACAAGGCAGCAGCTGCTCAAGCGTCCCTTGACAGGTGAACAAAATGCGGTGTATGCGTGCAGTGAGGGGTGTGGTGCTCTGCCTTAAGAAGGGAGGACATTCTCACCAAAACAGATGAACCTTTAGGATGTTATGGTAAGTGTAATAAACCAGTCACAGAAAGACAAAAGTCCTGGCTGACTGCACTTACATAAGGTACTTAGGGCTGTCATAGTCACACAGAAAGTAGAATGGTGGTTGCCAGGGACTGTGAGGAAGGAGAAATGGAGAACTGGTTGCCAGGGACTGTGAGGAAGGAGAAATGGAGAACTGTTTCACAGGTATAGAATTTGTTTTGAATAAAAATAATGTTTGGGCAGTAACTAATGTAATGCTTTTGGGAAAAAATGGTTAAAATGATAAATTTTGTTGTTACCACACTTTTAAAATACTAATCACATGGAACCTGTTTTAGATGACTTCAATACAGGCATATTCACTAATGCCGAATCATGCTGTGGATCAGTGACAGAGAGGGAAATTATCAACTGCCCATCTCCTGGGGTTCCTGCCGAACTTAACCAACAGTTTAGCACCAAGAGAAACAAGCCAGAACTGCTCAGTCAGGGCGAGAAAGCAGCCAGTTGGTGCAGTGACCAGTTCGTAGGAACACAAAAAAGAAAACACGTGAAATGTCCTAAAAGGCCTGACTGGAATATAAACAAACCACTCAAAAGATATATTCCAGCATCAGAAAAGTACCCTAAACAACTTCAAAAGCAAAGAGAAGAAAAAAAAGTAAGAAGGCAGATGGAACTGCTTCATTTGGTAGAAAGAAACAGTCCTGGGCCCCCTTCCCAGAACAGAGGCACGTCACCAGCAGCTCTGGATTCATCTCAGCGAGAGACTGAGCCACGGGTCAGGAGACATCCAGTCAGAACGGTAAGACTTTTTTTAGAAATGTTTTTAAAAACACGTATTGATGTTTCTAGATTGCAAACAGTCCTCCCCCACATACACGCATACATGTTTTGACAAGGGTGTCACGTGAACAAGAGTTCTGAAGGTTTGCTTTAGTTTTTTTTTACCAGTCCATTCTGCTGCCTGCCTTTGTAAATATAAAGTCTTACAGGAACACAGCTGTGCTCTTTCTGATGTATACCGTCCATGGATGGCTGCAAACAGAATTTTAGTAGTTACAACAGAGACTACAAGGACCTGCCACCACCACCCCCTGCCCAAAAAAAAAAGCGCATTTACCTAAAGATCCTTTAATAGAGATTATTTACACTTAAGCTTTTATAGATTAGTGCTACCACTTGAAATTCATTTATAGTTCATATAGGAAGAGATAATTAAGAATTCTGGATTGCTCCCAATTCTGGGAACACGCAACGCCTCTGTACCATTATCTAGGAGCTGCTAATCAGATACTATCCTGAAATTTCAACAAGTGACCACTCAAATGTTGGTGGGACAGATGGAAATGTTATTACTCCTTTCTGTATTTGTCCATCTTTTAGGAAGAAGAGACTCTGAAAAGTCATTCATTCAGCAAAGAAAGGTAGGTTATGGGTCAGATCAACTCCCTAGGTACAAACTACTTGCTCAAAACATGTGTCTGTATATGAAGACAGTAACAGGAAAGTGTGTGACTTCCAGGTGAGGAGTAACATTTTAAGCGGAACACTGGCATTTTCCTTGAGTTTGAAGATGGGCTGGGTGTCCTAGGCAGGAATGTGGGTGACGTTTCCTGTTGTCTCCTTAGATTAGGCATTCCACTTGGATTGAGGGGAGAGGGAAGACACGACTGGTAGGTAGTGAGAAGTTCAGAAGGGGAGACCGAGAATGGTTAGGTGTCCTGGGTCTGTGCACGGACCGGCTGGTCACCTCAGAATGTGGGTTTACAGCAAGTTTAGTTTTGGTGGTAAGTACATTATATCTAAGGAGAAACACGAGGCTTAAATTACCCCAGCGAGCACTGACCCTCCGGATCTAGTAATTTTTTACTCTGTACCAGAAGATCTATATATAAAAACTCAATCCCATTCTGCTGCCCTGTTTTTAGGAAGATCATAGAACTCAAACTTCTCCAGTATTCTTAAGGTGTTCTAGGACATGGAGATTATTATATTAGATTATTAAACTCAAGGTTTAATTCAAATTCTTGTTTAAGCATTTTAGTTTTTTTTAAAAATACAGGTCTCAATCACCACCCCTTTCCGCAGCAAAAAACAGAACCCAACAAACTCAGACACTAAAAAGCAGCCATTACGAAAGAGAAAATCTGGTATCGGGCAGTAATCAAACAGATTTACCACCTGGGATTTCTGAGCCATCCAATTTTATTCCGTATGTGCGAACCAGTGAGATCTATTACCTTGATCCAGACGCACCGCTGTCTAGGCCTTTAACCCAGGAGCCTCGGTGCCACACTCCACAGGGTAAGTCACAGTCCAAATACTCCTCCCCCCTTAGTTTCCATAAGGCTTGGCCCCAGGACAGGGTCCGTCGCTGAGTATTACCTAACACTACAGCATAGGGCTGTATCATCCTAGAATGTCTTTCACTTCTGTCATTTTCATCTGGCTTCAGACTGTGAGCAAGAACTGTTTCATTGTGACCACGCGAGGGACCCCCTCCTTAATCCTAATTTGGTGAAAAACTGGGATCGTCAGCAAGCAATCCTTAAGGGACTGTCGGCACTGAGACAGGTAATGAGCTTTTTCACTGTTAGTGTTTCCCACATCCCAGTTTAAAAACAAGACAATGCTTTTCTTAACATTACATCTCTAAGCATATTTCTTTCCTGTATGAATCATGAGATACTTCAAATATTAGGACAAATTTTATTGAATGGAAAATGCATACATTTGAACAGGTAAAACATCAGTAAAGGCCCTAAAACCAGAAAATACACGACGCTTCTTTAATAAATTCATAGTAAGGCAGCTCTTGCTTCTTTATGATGAATGTTGAACAGAACAGTCGTGTAATTTAGTGTGAAATATACACATAACCTCACTCACCCAGACTATTCCATCAGCTGGCTTTAGCTGCTTGCAAAATTGGTTTCTGTAGTTAGATTCATAGTCTGCTTTTTGTATTTGAAGGGGGAAAAAACCTCTGCCATTTTAGGGGTGCCCCTTCCAAGTGTTGCTTGCTTATCTTTCTAGAGAGCTAGAACAGCAGCTCCTTTAGTTTTCTGAATGCTCGCTTTGGTTGCCACCTTTCCTTCTAGCTGAGTGGAGACCAGTCTTGTTCCACAGGGACCTGTGTTAACCACTCCAACCCGGCACGGGGCCGACAGACTTCTTCAGTGTCCCCTTACCATTTTAAGAGCTTCCGGGGGACAGGGAGGAGATCTCAACCCCATAGTTAATGGTTTTAAGAACAGTTTCCCATAATCTATCTACATTAATATCCAAGTAAGAACACCTAGTATGAATTGCTGGGCTAAGATAACTGAGCTTATTTACTACATAATTCTGGATTGACAAAAATAAAATAGGAACAGTTTGCAAGTCTGCTGCCCAGTTTACTAATAACATATCAATGTGATTTCAGGGCCTTCTCCAGAAGCAAAGGGAGTTGGAAACAAATCTCATGCCTTTAGCTGCAAATCAAGAGGAGAATTTTAGTCCTTCATTTTAAATGTAGAAAATGTTCTTGCTGCTTAGCTGTAGTTTTCAAATAGATTTCTAAAATGCTTATTTAAAACTTGTACGTTATCTATAGTAAAATGCTGTGTGTATAATTTTTATAATAAAAAAAGACATTTGTAAAAAAACCTATTTTTCTGCTCTGGTTTCAAGCTGGGTGATTAAGCCCTATATAAAAAAACACTTTCTACTTACCTTGATACAGTCTGGAGTTTCTGACCTGTTAACATCCTTACACACTTTTTAAAATATGTAGTTCATTAATTGAAATACCACACATTAACTTTGCAAGGGTAGTTCTTTTGAGGTGCCTAAAGGTAGGTCGGATTTAACACATCCCAGCTGTGACTAAAATAACCCCCAGTTTGGGCTCATGGAAATTTTTATGACACTGAAAAGTGCAGTTTCTACAATAAAAAACATTTACAAGTTTGCATTAGTAAGGGACAGACAGTTGTTAAAGGAGATGGTGGAGATCAACTTTAAACCCACATCTATCTGTGAATTAAAAAATCTATTAGGAAGTTTATTCCAAGTTGTTATGCCTTTAATAAACAGAAACCTCTTCTGAAATTGAAGTTAAAGACCACACAAGCACTAAAAATCATAATCACCAAGTATTTTCAGGTAATAGGTTCACCAAAATTTTAGCACCTGGCAATTTTTACATGGCTAAGCCTAAAGATAAAAAATAATGCTGCCTGGTATTAAGTCCTATGTACATAGTTTATCATCTAAGTGAAACTGTGTTAGATAAACCTTGAGGTATTGAGCCAAACTCCTGTGGAGTCACTAACATCACTGGCTTATACCTACGTAGAAAGACTATGCAAGAAAGGCTAAAATAAATACAACAATACAACAGTTAATATCAATGCAGAAGCAGTTACTTAGTTACTATCTTCTGACATAAGAGGAAGAAAAAAGTAACGCCAATGCTGTCCCCTGTTCCTTTGCAAATATCCAGTTCCGTATATAAAACTGGCTCCAATTTGAAGCAGAAATACAGGTGACATAAATGTAAAACCTAGAAGTGCCAACATGAGATAATTCAAGTACAGTATGTTAAAAAATATATATATTTATTTCAGTTTTCAGATGCTTCAACTTACAGGCCATCATGATTTAAATAAGAAGAGAAAGGACAAGAAACCTTTTGTTAGAGAATGAAATATTAATAGTAAGAAACAGAAAAGTTCATAACTTATTTGTCTTTTGAAAATGGCCTGGAAGAACCACTTTTGCCCCGACTTGATCGAGATGGAGATCTCTCTCTCTCCATGCTTTGAGTATAAGCAGATAAAAAGTGATTTTCACTTTCTTGAGACTGACCTGGTGAAAGGGCATACGGTGTCCCCAAAAACGTCTGATGAGTGAGAACATTAAAGTGACTAAACTGATGGGACATATTTAATTGCCTGTGATGAGCTTGGAAGTTGCTATATGAATCTTGTTCAGTCGAACTGCTGTTCTCCCCTTCAGAGCGTACTCTAGGAGCTTTCTCTTCAGAATCAATCTGAGAAGTCTTCTCTTCTAATAAACTTTTTTGCATGTCAAGAGACGACTGCAACTCAATTTGAATATTCTTTTTTTGATCTGTTCCACATGATCCTTTGGTCTCTTTCGCCAATATTTCTGAATGAAAATTGCTGCATACTTCTATTTGTGAGATTTCATCCCCTGAATCCAGAGACATATCCTCTTCATCCTTTTCGTTTTCTAAAAGAGCTACATTTAAAAAACAAAAAGTCCTCCTCTATTGAAACACACAATTTGTTTAAGTTTTAAAATTATACACTACTCACACAATATAACGCGTCAGGATCTGCAAGTCCACAATCCCTTAAAGCTTGGTCTTCTGCCACAAGTTCACTTAGTCACAACACTCACACTAGGTGTGAATGTCCGCATAATCCGATGCTAAACGCTTCTGCGGAATGTGTTCACGTTTAATGTTGGGAAATCCCAACTCCCAGCTCCAAAGGGGTTAATGTCAATACAGCATCTAAAGTTATACGGTAATTCAGTATTGGACAAGACAAATATAAAATAAAACTTCTGACATCTAGCTTCACTGGATCATCGCTAAATTGGTTAGCTCTATCAAACGTTTTGTTCCTCTCTGCTTTCCTCAGAAACAAAAGACCATCTTTCACTTTATACAAAACCTGGAACCAAGGCACAGGCCACCTCACAAAGGCAAGCCGTGCATCTCTACTGCCTTATTAAACTGCTTTATAAACTGGTTGGGAGATCTAGTAGCTCAGTGCTCAATCCCCACTTGTGGTGTCCTTTTTAAAAAATGCGCCATCCCTTTGCTGAGAGCAGCCAGTAAGGCTTCCGTACGCTCACAGAGAACATGCCGCCTCTGCCGCACACAGGCCACAGTACCTCGTATTGACTCGTGCTGACTGCAGTGTAACTACTGGGCAGACTGTGTGTGCTAACAATGACTTGAAACACTTCCCCTGAAGCTGTTTACACGGTTTCAAAACAGGCATTACATGAAAAGAGCAAAACCGGTCCTCTTTTTCTGTCTGCCTTAAAGAAAATGAAAACTGCTGAAAAGTTACCTGACTGCGACTCAAGATTCTCATTAGCACCAAGCAGTGGAAGGTTTTCTTCTGTGACTGAGTTGTGATAGCCCACAAGATTTTTAAAGTTTTGCATAAAGTCTTCAGTAGTTGCAACCACTATCCCATTATCTGTATAACTGGAAAGCATCTTGATATTCTTTTCTAAATTAAAAAAAGTTTTGAATATAAAACACTTAAAACTAGTCACAGACAAAAAAAGATACCTGTCCCCCCGCCCCCACCCTCCTAGAACAGCTCAACACCACCCATCCCCCAGCCCCACAATTGCCATATTAAACAGTCAAAGCTCAAGTGCACCCTTTACCTGTCAGGAAAACTATGTGTCGTTGCTGTATGTTCTGAGCCTGAAGTCTGATAAGGCAATCCAATTCTGGAGCATTTCGAGTTTGTGAATCACAATTGTGGTACGACAACATTTCAACCAGATGTTTCTTCTGATAGACACTCAGAAGAGTCAGCAGACTCAGGGCTTTGGTGTTCAATCTGTGAAATTGGGCAGTTCAGAGGCTGCATTTGTATCTCCAAAATTTAGTAGGTGACTTTGTTTCAAATTAAAACCATTAACTGCTCAGCTGAGGCAGCTAGTAACGGCCCTGCTTACTGGCACAGTGCCTGACACGGGCGCCTCATAGGCGAGGGCGGGCATTGTGCGGCCCACATTACGTCCAGGGGATTTCTGTGGGTGCAAAGCCTGAGCATTAGGCTCTTCAGTTAAAATGTCAACCAGTCATTTCACTTACTAAGAAATGAGTTCTTTTTAGCTTTTACTTATTTAGAGCTTTAATGAAAAGACATCAAAATACAAATCTTTACTTCAAAAAATATGTGACTCTTAGCTATTTCTACACCTTCAGGGAAGAGGCAGCAAGTGGCAGAATCTACTGGCTCCTGCCAGAAACGCGAGGCTACAACTTGTGTGTGAGTCACACCTTTGGGCCTCAGTGTTAACTATGAACATATAGCAACGTAAGATTTGCCCAATGCCTATTTTCCCATATCTTGAAAGTAAAGTTTTTAAAAAGAACTACTACAAAATAAGTATTTTTAAATTCCTTAACTTGAACTTCCCTCTAAATGTATACCACGGAGTACCAATGGGTATTAGAAGAAAAAATATTTTTTGGTCTAAATTGAGAAAATGCTGATTGACAAAACATAAAACAGCAGTGTTAACTACAGACGTTCCCAGATCCTCAGACACGCAGCAGGACCGGGTCCCCAGCTCATCTGCTTCCGCCATGCATGCACCCGGAGAGTTTAGCCGTCACTCTTTCTGTGACCAAGTGTCCTGACCGCCACCCCCTACCGTGCTGAGGCTAATGCTGTCTCAGTATGGACGCTATCACACCAGATACCTCAGGTAAGTCCTCAGCTGGGAGACGGCCTGATCCTCTGGCTCGCATGTACTATTCAGGTAAAAAAAATCTCGTTCCATTTTGATGATGATTTTAAATCCCCATGTGGCAAAGATTAAAGCAGTTTTACCTATATACATACTTAGACCTTCAAGTGGCTTTACCTATGTGAGAACACCACTTCCAAGCAGGCTGGAATAATCTCAGTGTCTACATTCCCTTAGGGCTGGCTAATCTATAAAAACTGAGAAGCATTCATCATCTACAGAGAAAAAATTTTGTGAACACAAATGTTAAAATCTTATAACCACTATATAGTCATTTTTCAGTCTTACCTGCCCAGCTCCTTTAGTTTTTTCTGAAATTTACAGTGCACTTTCCATTGCCACTTTCCTTCCGGAGTACTAAGTTCTTCAAGGAATGTCAAAAAATTTTTAAGGTTCTCTGTTAGAGACAGTGAAGTTCATTTTAAATTCAAGAAGTAAGAGTCACTCCACAACTGAATTACGGAGGAAGTGTCTGATGACATGTTGATACCAACACAGGGACACCTACATTCCTGTATGATGTTCTTTCATCTTCTCCCCTCTAAGGAGACAGAGATCTATATATCCTCTCTTAGACTTAAGAATATAGCATCTACACATGATCATGGTGACAAGAACAGACCAGAAGGACCCACGTGCAATGGGTGCGGAGAACCTGCCTTTACACCAGATTTAGAGGAAATGACTGGTAAAGACTAAGAGAAAGGGAAATAAATGAGGTTAGAAAAAGCTCAAGAATGATGGACATGTCCTAGTTATCTGTGACTGGCACAATGGACGATACATTAAAAAGTACAAGTGAGTCATTCATGAGAAGCCAAGAATACAGAGTTACATGCTCAAAAGACTGCATAAACCTTACCGATTGTAGTAACTTCTGGATTTAAAATGGATTCATCAGACACAATAAAGCCGCCAGATACAAATAATTCATTGTATGTATGATTTTTAACATCATCCAGACTGTCAACACCAGCAAAACTAACGCAGGGGAGCTTCTTTAAAGTCACCAAGCCAGGTACCTAGTCAAATACCCAAAAAAATTAAAGAATCAAGGGCCGCTAAGGGAATGAATGGAGAAGCCCCTCCAGCGCGAGGTCACCCACCGGCTCAGTCTGACCAAGTGCGCCGTGCTCACCTATTACTGCTGTGTTGGCTCTGGAGAGCCAAGCCCACACCACATCCCCAACACTGTTTCCGAATATATAAACCACCAAGTATGTCCTGGGCTCTTTCCATGGACAGAACATTCTTAAGGAAAAGGAAACTTAAAGCCGGCACGGCAACAGAGGGGGAAACACTGCCTTATCTGGCCGAGTGCGCACAGTGAGAACACAGGCTACCTTCAAATCAGGGACCGGGGACCGGTGTGGCACAGTGGGTACACCTAGGTTTTACCTGGGACATACAAATGAAGCCACGGTGACAACGTAAGAGTCAGTCTTCTTAAATCTTAGAACTGAGTGAGAGGGAAGGTTGGTCACGTGCCAAAAACTCACACTTTTGCAGAGGTACAAATGTGAATCTCAAGCTGATTCACAGGTTTGTTTAGGTCTCAAGCTTTAAACCCTTCTCATCTCCTTAAAAGCTTAGGAGGATATTTTCAAAACAAACAGCTTTAGTCTCAAAGTAAGACTTTTAATGAGGGAGTTTTGAAACCAAAATGATTAGTGAATTTGACTTAATAGTCTACCTTGTGGATGAAACCTGCAATGTCTTCATTTTGAATAATAATCAATAGTTTATCTAATTTTGATCTTCTTTCCAAAAACTGTTCTGGATGACATTCTGTATTGCCTAATTTGATAAGATACTCCTGTTAAAGAGAAAAAGAGGCCTAAATCAACATTAAAGAGCTTTTTCTGTAAATATCCACTTAACACCAGAAATGCAAAATAAACAGATAATCAGCTTAACTACTACTAGGACACTGCCAGTGATGACCTTGCCCTCCAGGGACCCCACTAGAGATCTAGTCCACTCCTCGTAGGCACTGAAAGCCAGGTGCCTGCTGGGGGAGGGGGTGGGCAGTGACAGACCGTTATGAACACTGGGTGAGCCCAGGCGGTTAACCCAGGTCCATTCCTCCTTCTGGGCAGCCATGAGCCCAGTCAACCACTCCCTCCCTCCCGCTTTCCTCTCCCTCCCTTCCAAAGCAAACCCTTTTAATTTGCAGCCACTACCACAGCTCATGTAATTCCCAACAGCCTCCAAGTCATCCAGACGGAGCTTCAGCCTGTACAACGATATTTACATACTAATTAGCCACGTCTGTCAAGTTTACACTTTAAAGCAAAACACTCTCCTAACACCTCCCTCCGTGCCAGGCACACAGCACTACCCTTCACAGGGCACAAAGCCGTAGCCCAGCAGGCTGTGCTCTGTGCTTGCTGGCAGACTGCTGGCTGACCTCTGAGCAAACTGTAGGATCTTGGACGTCACAGTCCTTGTTTCACAGATTAATTTTCTCAAGGTTGGCATGGGTGGTATATAACCATAAGTCTGAACCCACCTTGCGGCACAACCAGTCCACTGCTCTTTCGAGAGCCATCTACAAGTGTCACACCCAAAGACCATGTTCTGGTGTGGCCCTGAACTCAAGAAGCATCTTCTACACTGAGTGATTGGCTCTAAACTCGAAAGTTTCTGGGCAACCTCAGAGCAGCCTATAGTCTGGTAATGAAAAAGTAAGTTCCTCTCTGACAGGCTTGCTTGTAACTTTTGGTGTATCTTGCACGAAGAAGCTTGAAACGGGAGTTCACAGATAAGGCAGTTTAACTCATACAGTAACATTCAGTTTAACTCCAGAAATATTTCGGAAGCTTAGAATTTTATTCATAAAGTCTTTTACTCTATTATTTTTGCTAGAAGCTTTCGAATGGATACTAATTACAAGAATTAAAAGTTCTGATATGACCTCTTATCAAATTTGTAAAACATACTGCATCCTTTTATTCTACATAAACGAAACATGATTTACTCTATGCCAGCATGAATTGTAGGCGCCCAAGTAAATGGCATTCCCTGGAGGTGTGTGCCAGTTCAGCCAGTGCCAGGGGAGGCAGAGTGGCGCCAGTAACACTGGGGACCCACCTGACCTTGCCTCTCCCCATGCCTGGCACCGGCACGCAGCTGTGCCCCAGACAGCCACACCGGGGACACGCTGGGGTGGACAACTGGGATGCTCTGCATCCAACCCTACAGGGCAGAAGTGCAGCCAAGAAATTCCTGCCAGGCCTGGTTTCATCTTCCCAAAAAAACCCACCAGGAATCGGTGAGGACAGCATGCTGAGCGCGCAGCCTGCTCCTCCACCTCCAGCTCCTGAGCGCATGGGCGCACCGCACGGACACGCCGACAAGCCAGCTGACCAACAGGACATGAGCAGCCTGTGGTTTAGGGATACTAGCTGGCACTATTAAACCACTGATATAATCGTTCCAGTGTGTAAGAATTTGCATACCCACTACCGCCCATTTTATGTATCTAGGTCTATATGCACACACAAATACATGTGTGCATTCCTCAAACTAAGTATCTGAAACACTAGGCTACCCTGTAGCTTCAGTGGGGGGAAAGGTACCACCTCGCAATGAGGAATCACTCATGATGGGGCAGTCTTTCGGGATGAGCATTTTTCGGACCAGCAAAGGCTACAGGGAGCCCTGACATGGCCAGGGTATCAAGAAATGCCAAAGGATTGTATCGTCATTAGGTCATCTTTGGAGAGTGAGAGGAAACAAACCCATATGAAGTGAACTTCCTTTTGCCCCTGTCTTTCCCTCCCCTCTTCATTAAAAACCCGACTAATAAACACTTAAAATCTTGGAGTCAACAGTTTGAAGGTATTTGCAGCATGTATACAAATGGTCTTTAAAATGACTACACCCTAAGATATTTAGACCACAGGTCCCTAATTTGTAGAGCTTACTAGTCTTCTATTCCACTCTGCGTTACGTTAGGAAAACATACGGCCAGCATTTAAAAACAAAACCAACCCATCTGCAGAGCTCAGGGCCAACAAGCAGGCGGACAGGCAGGCCGGTACGCACGTCACTCACTGTCTTCTCATTTCCTTACCTTGATCTCCTGACACAGCACACTCTCCTCTTCCTCATGAATATAAAATTTCACAGTATTTTTCTGGACATCTTTCATGATTTTAACCAAACTGTTAAATACTTCAGGTTCTAACTGGCTGATGAAATTTGAAAGTGCTGGCTGGGCAGAAATGTTTGCATCACTGGGTGACTTTGTAGCTTCTCTTTCTGCTGGTTCCCGGGCACCGTCGCCAGGTGCGGCATGACCTGAAGTTACCACCAGCTCGGAGCCGTGGGGTGGCTCGTTCTCCTCTACTTCAGTCAAACCCAGCGTTGAAGAGGAATGCTGCTCGCTAGAGTTGGTATCTTTCAAGGTATCACTACCAAGTGACTCAAGGTGTTGACTGCTGACGTCACTTGGGGGAACTGGTGTGACGTGGCTTCCCGGAGGATTCAACGCTATCTTAGTACCAGAGTCATTGGGACTGACTGGTGGCAAAGCCCCACCCTTGGCTGATGCTTTGATAATAACAGTATTTAGTTTCTCATGCAAACCATCCACAAACTCCTGTACACCAGCTTTGGAAGTCTTAGAATAAATGAACTCAGAAAGCCGTTTCATCCTCTCTTGTGTTGAAAAGACAGGAGTGGATATTCGGCTGACATAGGAAACATTCTTTTGCTTCAAAATCTCTTCTATCTTCCTAGAAAAGAGACTGTACTCTCCTAACACTGTCCTCTCTGTGGTCTCGCACGCTGCGGGCGGCTCCTCTGCTGGCACCACCTGCCCTGTCTGTGCGTCCTCCTCAGTGGTGCCCCTTAGCGTGTCTGTAAATGGAGAGGATGGAAACTGGTCATCAGAACTTCTCTGTCTACTTATTACCCGGGGATCGTTAGGCAAGGCCTCCTGCGGTGGCAGGCACACCAGCTGTGCCTCTGGTGATTTCATACCTATACAGGGAGAGTCCATCATCAGAAGAGAAATCCGAAAACATAGCATTGGAAAACACAGACTCACAGGTAAGAAAATGTCAGCTCAAGTATTTATTTAGAATTATCCAATAGGAGCAGAATAAAAATCTCTAATAATGGTGTAAATGAACCCTCCCAGCCCTCCCTGAGGCTGGCCTTTGGATTTCAGTTGTTAGAATAACGAGTTTGATGTTATTTTCTTTGATTTATTCTTAAGTGTTCAAATGTGCCAACTGGGCATCAATACAAATTAAGTCACTTGCTTTTTTCTGCAGATTCCGCTTTGACAGACATCTGCTCATCAGGATGGTCAGCTGCAGTAACTTACTCAGACCCTATATTTTTTGCCAAGTATGGTAATAACCTCTTATTATGAAAATTTTGAGTGTTAAGACAAATGAAAAAATGCCAAATTGAAATGCTGTGGGAATAAATGCCAGATTAAGAGTTACATTCAGGATCGAGGGTACTTATTTTTATCTGTTTTCAGATTTTTCTCACATAATGGGGCTGTTCACTGGACTTCCTACCACATTAGGGACTTCAAGTCATCATGAAAAAATGGCTCAATAATACAGGAAGAGAATAAATTTCAAAGCTGCATTAATGGTAGCATTTTTGATAGTTCTTTTATAAACATTTTAATTTTGTTTGAAAATTATACCAAGAAATCATGATAGTTATAACCCTGTTTGAGATGAAGACGTCATGCTGTCATGCTGATGCTAACAGAATTCTGACTTTGACTCCTGATATCTGCCCCAAATTCTACATCTAACACAGTATGTTTCTCAAACTACATTTCAAAACATTTAAATCCCTTAAAAAAGGTGGGCAGGGGCAGGGGGACCTTTTCAATATCAATTGACAGTAATAACATCATAGGCAAAGAAAATATTGACCTTTGTCTAGAATACACCACACAATTTTTAATCTTTAAAAAAAATGACTATTTTTCCCTTAAACCTTAGCAAACATTCCCTACCAAACTGCTGTTGTACTATATGAAATGGTACCTATAAATCAGTAAGTCCAGATACAGGTATAGTTTTCCAAATGACAGCATTTTAAAGCTATAGGCCATTCCCCATTCACGCCTGCACTCACTCGCTGCATGGCCTCTCTACACTAAATGCAGTTTTGATTTTCCTTACACACTGTCCCAAAGGTTTCAACAGCCTCAGCGGCACTCAGCTTGTGGTGTTCCCCTACCAAACCCTGGAGGTCAGCATGAGCCACTGCACCGTTAACTGCTGCAAAGGCCCCTAGCAGCAGGGCAAGACCATAGCAGGCCTGCGGGTGAAGAGATGGGGGGCAACACATCCTGTGTACCAAGAAGAAAGTCACAACACTACAGGAAACTGGTGAACCTGAAAATTCAAATCCATAAAATCATTCAGAAACACTCACTGTCCTTCTTAAATATACAACAAGTATATGTATAAAATGTCTGGAAGGGCATATAAGACATTAGTAACAGAGGTTGATCCAGGTGGTAAAACTAAGTATCTGGGCTGGGGGTGGAAGACTTACTACTTTCTGAGGTGTTTTTTACTTCTTAAATTATACACTATGTCAAATGTCTGATTTGTGTAAGAAAAATTTTTAATTGTACCTTGTGAAAGGGAAAACCATCGTTAATTTAGAATTTTCTGTATTATGTTAAATGAAATACTTGCTCGAAAAATTTACAGCTATAGTTCAGACCAATAAGCTTATTTCTGAAGGACTAAGGATAAAGGGAATTTTTTTAAAGCTAGAACAGAAGATATATCCACATGGAGAATTTTCCTTATGAAAAACCTCTAAACCAAGTCCCTTTTAATGAAAACACAATTGCAAATGATCACCACCTAATTTGTTTTGCACAAATTTCCCCGTACCATTTTAATTAAGGCTAAAAACTTTTTTAAAAAACTGTCTTCATCAAACCATGATTTAAGAGAAACACATACATCAATATCCATAATAATGTGTATTTTCTACAGATTGTCACTCAAGCACTGCAGTACTTCAAGTGAAAGGGGATAAAGAGATGAGCTCTCAACAGCAACAGCATTCATATAGTCACCCTTCCAATCACAAAACAAGAAGCATGCATTCCAAACAACAGGATTGCAAAGCTGAAGGGCATTCTGAAGCACAAATGAGACGCTGGCTACTCCTAATGGGAAAGAATTACTGATAGACTCAAACCGAATCCCCCACATAACGCTGAGTGGAAAGCTAAAAATGAGGACATGTGTAGTTCCATTTATCTTGGATTCTGCAGCCAAACAAGTAGGATCAGTGGTGACTGCCAGGGCAGGGGTAGTAGCGACTGGGCAAATGCAGGAAAGACCCTTCTCGGGTGCTGGATGGTTCTACTTCTTGATTTGGGGGTGGTCACTGAAGTGGACGCTTATGTAAAAACCCATCAAGCTGGACACTAAAGATCTGTACATTGTTCTGTACATCATGTATCTGTTCTTGGTTTTTTATTTGTTTTCATCTTTCCCTAGGAGGCGACAAAGATTTTCTTGAAAAATCTATTAACTAAGTCTTTTTTAATTCCCAAAAGGGAGGAATAACCATAAAGATCTACTAAGTCATTTAGCTATCCTTCCAAAAATGAACAAAAACACTTAAGTTTTCTGAAAGAGTTAAGATACACAGAAATGGAAACAAAAAAGCCTCGCCACCCAATTCCAAGCAAGGCCATAATGCCTGTGACTATCTGCACAGATGCCGGACAGACAGCTCAGCCAAGGGACGTCTCTAGGGTACCCAGCTGCAACCAGCCAGCCAAATCTGTATATGCTTCTGGAATCCAAGTTAGAAAAAGAAGAATTGGATCAAAAAACTCAAGAGTAGGAATAATGTAAAAGATATATGGCCTCACCTCCCCCTATTTTCTAAATTTAAAAGAAACTTGAAGACTGCTCCTCACAGGATGTCTCCTGCAAAAGTTAAGAAAAATATTCTGGTCTTCCCAAGTCGTATCAGACAGAATCAACCAGATGTGAAGGAGACTTAATCCCTAGTAACTTCTCTGAACACATTCTTTGTATAAGATTATTTGCTACAACTCAATGACTTAAATACAAATATGATATTGTTCGTATTTTCTGTAATGAACACAGCTTACACTGACGCCCTACTGGCGGAGGAGCACTTCTGAAGAAGGGCACATCAGGAGGGACAGCAAGGCGAGCCTTCTTACCTGGCGTCCGTCTCTCGCCATGTCTCCCCGGCGCGTCCCCTGGGCTCCTCGCACTCCCTCCTGAGGAGAAGCTTCTGTTAGATTTGGAGACTCTCTTCAGACACTGGTGATGCCTCCTAAGCACCTTTCAGACAACCCCACATGCTAACAAATCCAAGTATTCCTTCTTTTGCCTAAATAATGCTGAAGGGTCATTGGAAACAGGGAGTTGCCTCCTTTGCACCCTCAGGTGGTGATGGACTATCAACACCTAGATGCTGTGCCTTCACATGGCTCTGGACATCGGGGTGAGGGACGGTCAGAACCATCGGGCCCCAAGGACTGCCTTACTGTTTACCCCACTTGAGCTGACATCTCCAGCTCTCAGGTGAGTATGAGCTGCCTCTCTACTCTCACTGCCAGGCCTCCTGCCGTCTCTGGCGAGGCCCTAGCAGGGAACGGTGCTGAGGCCCATGGAAACTCAGGTTGCAGAAATTCTTCTCCGAGTCCCTGGAGGTCTGAGTAGCTTCTAAGTCACAAGCAGTCTATTTCTTTTTAGCAATGAGTTGTTTGCTTTTTCTTGTTATAAGTTAAATAAAGGTCTAGAACAGAAGAGATGTGCCTGGAAATACTTCCAAAAATGTTCAATAAAGATGAGTAAGAACTTGGAATGTTAAAGAGACTACATATATGCATATGTATATGTTTCTACAAAGAGAAATTAAGAGTTTTGCAAAATGATCTCTCAACATTTGCTGAACCATTCTTGCCCTATGTTTCAGTAAGCTTTCAAGGGATATTTGCATTTGATCATTTACAGCATTCTCTATGGTGACCCAATTTCTCTAAGATAATCCAGTATTAAGAAATCAAGTTCTTTCAAACAGATGAACCTCAACATGACCACTTCTTAGATAGTGAAGTTAAATAACCTGAGATCACATTTAGCTGGCTGCCCAAAGACCCTAATTTTATCCGTGCAGCTGCCACACCTCATTAGAAACTCTCCATCTCTTTCCAACAATTTTCATTTGGAAGCTCACATGCTAAAGTCCACAGGGAGAGTATGATTTAAATCTCTCCACTTTTTTGCAGATACTTGTTGATGCTGACCAAGAACAGCAACACTAAATGATTAACATCACACTGCTCAAAATCAAGACACATCAAAAGAAGATGTTAGAGCCGAGTACAACAAGCACCTACTGACCCAAGGAGTGGGATCCAGAAGAGATAAGACCCTTCAGGAAGCTGGTCCCTAAGTAAAATCGAGCAAGCCTAAGTCCCAATGTACTTTTCCTTACCTGTGATTGGAATCAGTTTCCAATGTATTTCAGCCTCTTCAACAATATTTGACTTAGACTGTCTACAGAATGCGTGTTGAATGAGAATATCAGGACACACTGTGCAATTTCCAAAATCATCCATGCTAATTAAATTTGGATCCTAAAAATTAGAGTACATGTTCAATAGCTTTCTTTTTTATTACATTTTAATGTCAAAAATAAACTTTTTTCACAAATTCACAAGCCTCAATCTAAACATTACAAATGAATAAAATCAACATGGGAAAGCTATAATCTATAGTCTTAAAATATAGTTTGTTCCCTATAAACATGATTTGATATGGATTTAGAGCAGAGGGCAGTAAACTTTTACAACAGGGTGCCAAATAGTTCAGGCTCTGAAGCAGACACTCAGGCCCAGCTCTGCCACTGCAGTGCACAAGCAGCCACAGCACAGTGCCTGAGCTGATGGGCCCTGTTGGGTTCCCGGACTTCAGGTACAAAAACAGGTTACGGTATGCTGGGTCTGGCTCATGATTTTGCATATTAACTATGTCAGGAACATTAACAATATAGGTTAGTTTCCCGGGGCCCACCTTACCCCCCCAAGTAAGCCTCTTGCCACTACCCGTCCCATAAAATAAGTATACCAAAATGACATGAATAAAAGCATGTGGCAACATGCATATGACTTTTATTCAAAGGCAGGAGAGAGAAAATGGAGCTAAGAGTAAATGAGAAATAAGCCCTTGAGAATATGGTGCCATCCTGTTATTATTCCCCAGTGAGGCAGCCGCTTTTTGGGGTGTGGGGGGGGGGCGGTAAGGCTATCTGAGCTAGAGAGGATGACTCTAAGCACGTATTGTAAACAAACTGGTGCCCTGTCAAGCAAGGCTGAGCATCGCTTCAGAGATAATGCTGAAGGCCATTCATTTTCCATTCCTATCTGCACACAGGAAGTACGAAGTCCCTAACCTCTTACCTCAGCTGCCTCACTGCTGGGTTCTGGTACTGCAGCAGAAAGTCAATGCTTGCAGGATTCATTTTATTATGAAATGAGAGAGATTAACTTCCAGTAAGCCATTTCTGACAGATTGTCCAGCCTCAACTGTAATCACAACAGCTAAATCTTACGACTATATAAAAGGCCTATAAACAGGATGGAAAACTACTACTTCTGCATTACCTCTTTATAACAAGGAGTAACTTAGAAATACCATCCTTGACACTTTTATTGAAATGTGTATTTTCTTTCGCTTTGAAAGGGGAAAACCACCACCTTACCGAAGAGCAACCCACTCTCACTCTCACACGCACACTCACAAAAGCAGTGATGAAAGACATATGCTTACTTCTTTCAGAGGCAGTTTATGCTTAGGGCCTACTTCGCTGCCAGAAACAGCGAAGGGATACCTCAGAGATGATGGATCAGCCTCTACCAGCGAGCTCTGAGTACCCTTAAAACGTGCTTTTTCAGTTTTTGCACCAGCAGGCTGCTCATACTCTTTCTTATCAGGGTTCAGCGCATCCTTGCGCTTCTGCCTCAGCTCTTCATAGGCGTCATCAGCACTCAACCCCAAGGCTTTGTTGACTGTGTCTGTCAGGGAGGCATCAGAATGGCGTGCGTTTGCTAGTGTTTCTGACAGCCAATGAAACAGCCTGTGGACGTTGGCCAGACCCGAGGGAGGAGTGTCCTGCGGCCTCTGGTTCCAGTCGGCATCATGCCCAAGGGAGCCGACAAGCTGCGGAGACTCTGAAAGGGAAAGACAAAGCCGAATTAAAGTTAGGTTTGGAAGGCTAACCAGCAAATTTAAAAATCCAGTATGTCTAAAAATTATCATCAGACATCTACTGGCAGGAACTCAACCAAACCAGTGGCTTAGATTTTACAAGCACAAATGATCTCTGAACAACGTGAGGGTTAGGAGTGCTGACTGCCCTAGTCAAAAATCCACATAGTTTTTATTGCCACAAAAACTTATCAACTAATGGCCCGCTGCTGATTTTATGGTAGTAAATGGTAGACTAGTATCTACAGATGTTTTAAGCATTCATGACCTACTTAATTTTTTCTTAATTTCTTTGTTATTTCTAGGCTAAGGACTAGGAAGATATGAAGATGACACATAAATACTAAAAGCCACCACCAGCTCCACCACAATTTAATCTGATTTCTATCCCCTCTACACCTACACCATTGTCCAGATACTGCCTGATGTTCCTATGATCTAAACCTGATCTTGAATGACTCGGTGACTTAATCTGTAACAAAGCTAAGATACTAGGGACACAAAGTCATCCTGAAGACATTCAGGGAACTCACAAAGAACAAGAGCTATGAGAGAAAACATGTTAAGACGTGGTCCAAACAGGCATAAATCCAGATTGCCTGCATAACCAATACATGAAAAAGCTCTCAAAGGGAACAGACACTCAAAAGGTCACATGCTTTAATGCTGAAGGAGGGTAAAGCCGGGGCAGATGTCAGGATTTCCAGAGGGAATAATATACCACAGTTTAAAAAAAAAAAAGTCAACAACAGAGTGCATACTGTATGACTTTGATTTTATGAAACAACAGAGCAGGTAAAACTGATCTACAGAGACAGAAAGATCAGTGGTTGGGTGGGGTTAGATTAACTACAAGGCAACATTTGGGGGTAATGAAAACTGTTCTAAAATATTGGACAGGTGGCAACACAGCCATCAAAAGTCAGCAAACTGCAGTTAAAATGGGTACACTGTATATAAATCACACTTCAAGAAAGTTGGTATTAAATGCAGGTAGGGAAGATAGGAGGTTAACTCTTATAAAAGGAGTGGGTTCACCACCAAATCAAGATAAGGACATTTTAAAAGTCTGAATCCAAATCTCTACTTTCAGAAATCAGCAATAAAGTATGCAAAATGTCTAGAAAGAAACACGAATGAGGAACACCTCGAAATGTAAAGCTTTCTGTCACGAGTTCCAATCTAAGCTATCTACCCCTTCTCTCTGCCCTATTTCTCCTTTGGTCTTCTGTAATTAGATGGCTTTCCCACCATTTTAATTCTTGATAAAATCTGATTTTTACTGACAACTATTTTTTCACATATACAAAATTAGTCGTTATCAGCTAAAATGGTATTGCAATTTAAGTATCTTGCCTATTATGTGCTCAGTACTGGGAAATACAGCTGAGTTTAGGAGCAGTGCTTTGGAGTCCGTCAGAACTGAGTTTACACATGGATTAGCAAACTATGCAACTTCACGTGAAGCGACTTAACTTTTCTGATTTTTCTCATCTATAAAATAACGTCTACCATTTAAGAACTAATTGAGTCTCTCTCTCTCTCTCTATGTGTGTATATATATATATATACACACACACAAAGCACCTAGGCACAGGTCAATAGCAGAAAACAGTACAGATCAGTAAATGTCAAGAGGTTCGGCAGAGCTGATACCCAGCACAAGTTAAAGGAGATGAAAGCCATCAAGGAGCAGAACAGAAAACTAAAGAAGGATTAGAACTGCAAAGACAGGAGGCTTGAGAAAAATAAAAGATGCTTCAAGAAGAAAGAGAAGTAAAGGGCTAAGATATATTCTGGGGAGAGAGAGAGGCGGCCAAACCAAGGAGCCTATTTAAAGACAGCAGGAACACGGTTACCCAGGCTGGATGCGGCCAGTCTCTGACAAAGCCTTGAAAGATGAGTAATAGCAGCTCAGACTGGAAGAACATGAAAATGAAATCAGAGTGACAGAGGCCAGGAAGGCCACCCCAGATGACGATATGGACAAGGGTGAAAACACTGGGAAGACAGACAGAACACGGGGCAAGTAAAGAAAAAAACCTGGAAGTTACTGAAGAGAACAGTGATGTCAGACTTTCTATAACGATGGAAATGTTCTCTGTGCTCTTCAATACAGTGGCATGCCTGGTGAAATACAGCTGGAATATTATAGGAAATGAATTTTCATTTGATTTTAATTAAATTTAAATAACACATGGCTAGGGGCTACCATACTGGATAGTGCATGAACAGGAAGTGAAGGGGACAGATACATGAAAAGGTGACGATAGTGACAACAGTATAATAAGGACTGAGCTAACTGAATCAGTCCTGAGACACACTGCATCTGAAAGCACGCCAGTGAAACTGTAAGTAACAGAGGACGGATACTTAGACCTGCCATGATCAACGAGAACGAGCAGAAGCACAAAACTGAAGGCCCCTGAACAAAGGAATACATTTCACACGTATGGCCTAGAAGTGTGAAAATCTTAGTATCTACATGAAAAATGTTTTAAATTGTTTACAATACTGAAACACACTGAAGAGAAGGATTTCCCATCTCTGTCTTTTTCTGTCAACTAAAACAAAACAAAGCAAAGAAAAATAGAAGAAAAGAAAGCCAAATGTATTACTGGAATCCTGTAAGTAATTAACTGTAAGATAAAACTAAGAAGTTTTATCACAAAGCTCAGAAGGTTCCTTTCATTAAGAACATCCTAAAAGAACCCAATATTCCGCGCATTGTACTTTTCCATTTCTAAAACTAAGCAAATAGAAAAGGACAGGAGCTCCAGTTAGCAGGCCAACAGCTGAGCCTATTTTCCTTTCTCCTACTGTCTGGCCAAAGCTGCATCCAGAAAGCTGATGTACTAGGGCAGAAGATGGCAAGTATTTTCTGTAAAGGACCAGGCAGTAGATATTTTAGGCTTTGTGGGCCCGCAGCGCTGCCGCTGTGGTGGGAGAACATCTATGTAAACGACATCAACAGGTGTATGCCAGTGACCTTCTTTACAAAAAGAGGATGGGGTGGATTAGCCCTGAGGCAGTAATTTCCAGACTCCTGTATCAAGGGAAAGCACAGAATTACTTGACTATTTTCTGGTAGTTAAATAATTTATGAGAGTAAGCTGGTATTTTACCTTCACACAGATGGCAATTTGCAGATATATTACTGGTCTTGGCGAGCTTTCTCCTATTTTCAGGTAGATCCTCAAGCTTCCTCTTCAAGATAGTTTTGCTTCTCGTATCTTCCGTGTCTGAGTCCCCACCCACATTTTTTTTCCTACACTGAATTAAGTGAATCAATTCTTTAACTCTGTCCTTATCATAATCCAAAGAGTGAGATGACTTCTGCTTTGCAGGTATAATAATTTCACCCCTTGAGTTATTTCGTTTTCGAAATTTCATTTTTGTACCATTCATGTCTTCTTCTTGGCCTTCATTGTCTGAAAGTGGGCTCAACTGTTGAAGTTTCCTATTTTCTTCAAATACATCTTTTAATTTACAAATAGGTAACTGATACATTTCAGGCCGAAAAATATAGGTATGCAAACAGTTATCAATATGAGATTTATTTTTTGGAGCTGAGTATAAGAATTTTTTATCATCTAATCGTGAATCATATGGAAACATGATGAATTCTCGTTTACCTGAACCAAAACCTCGCTTAAAAAATTCACTTATATACTTTTCAACACCAGAATGGAAATTTACAGTATTTATACTTTTGAATTCCTTTCGACACTGAATCAAAGCAAATTGTAAAAACTGAGTTATTTTTAATACATCTGGCATGCTCTCATGTCTCTCCTGTGGTGCTGCACTAGTTGAACCTTTCTGTGCTATAAACAAAAAAGTAAAAAACCATGTTAGCAATTAAGAAACTGATCAAATACAGATCTACACATAGCCACAGAAATGTAACAACATTCATACATTAATGGTGAACCAAACTAGTATGGACCCCAATACATATGTGTACACAGAAATATATGAATAGCATGCTTTCAAGTCCAGGAACCTAAAACAGGCCAGTAAGAAACTGAAACAAAATTGAACTTAATTTTTTAAAGGGAATACCACCCACTGGTAGATCATCTTCATTTCCTATTGTCCCTAAGCAATTCAACTGATGGCAAGCAAAATCCAAGGAGCAATAGAGGTAGGACAAGACCTAAGGCTCCTAGCAAGTCAGTCCTGCAAATCCTGCAATGACCTCCTTCCTGCTATAATGTAACTGTAACTTCACATGAATTCTCTACCTGCAGAAGCAGAAGTGCAGGCATTTAGTGACTACAATTGCAAATCTCATTCTTAATGTAACAGTCAAACCCATTAGTGGGAATTGTACCTTAACACTGCATTAAAGTTAGTTCTTAGAAACAGTGAACAGGAAATTTTCTCTAGTATCAGTGTAAAAGCACCTCATTAATTGTGAATGGCCTAATAGCTAACCTCGCACATAAGGCCTTCACAGTTGCTAAAATCATGTAACATGTTTTGCATTGCTAGTACCTGTTCATATCCCCATTTTCCAAAATATGATGTAAGAAAGACAGAATGCTTAGTGAATTATCTGGAAATTTGCAATAAAATGTAGGTAATCTAAGGTAAACAGATTTAGATATTCAAAGAACTTACAAGAAACTATGCCTCTAGGCTCTTGAAATAGAAATAAGGCGTGTAGGACCCGAGACTTGGCAGTTTGATGTTCTAAAAAAAAAACAGAAGCCAAATTCATTACCAAAACGCTTTAATTAAAAAGTTAAAAAAGAACTGTAAAACTTAGCACCTACCATATGGAGAAACCATTTGACAAGGAGAGAGAAGAAAAAGGTATCCTCGGTCTCCCAAAGGTTTAACAAGAACCTGCATTTTTGGAAGAGGGAAGAAGTTGAATCCGCTTTAATATTACTCATCGTAAGGCCGACACACAGCAGTTTCTACTAATTACAAAGAAAAAAAGTTCTTCATCATCTTTTTAGGGAAAATGTTGCCACTGAATTAATTTAAAATTCTTGCCACCTGCTCTCTGCTGATTAACAGGACTACAAATAAGAAATTATTAGTTTTCATAACTTTAATGAAAGGTATTACTAAAATAATTCTAATTAACTAGAAAACCAACTTGATATTCCCTTGAAGCTAAAATACAAAGACCTAACAACTAAAGACTTCAAATATTCCCCTCAGCAATTCAAAGACACGCTACCAATCACCAAGGCAGCTGTGCTGGACACTGGCGATACAGAAGCAAGTATGGCCCAAATGCTTCCTTTCGTGAGATCAGGGTAACTGCACAAGAAATGTGCTACCGTTAATCCTGCAAACACTCCATGAACATGTGTCACATGTAAGCAATCTGCGTTGGCAGAGGTAACTTCAGACAAGCAATACAAGATCTTTGACCACAAGAAGTTTATAACTGGGTGAAGAGTTAAGCCAAGAAATATCAGCAAGTAGAGAAGACAGAAAAGTTCTCAGACTCACAAAGCAACAGGGAGGGAAAAAAGTTGAAGATTGAAGACAATACTGACAATGTACTGAAAGTAGGCTGTGGAGGATAAATACACTGCCAAGAGCCTGACACTGTGGGAAGGACATTTCAACAGCAGCAACATCATGAACAAAGGCAAAGTTATAATATGATGGACAGCTTGCAATATCAGAATACTTATGACTGGCAAAAGGGTGAGGACAGACCAGGATAAATGTTTAAACACAAGTCTAAAAAGAAAGAACATGGGCTAGATTATAAAGACAAGAATGCAGGTTAGCCAGGAATGTGTTCCAGGGTATACCCATTTGAAATGGAGTGTTTCCCTAAAAAAAATAAAAAATAAAACAAAACCTTGACAGCACTGTGCAAAAGGTGGAAAGAAAATGTGAGAACTCAGTTCAGGGGATACTGCAAGAGTTCACAATATTTTCTGGATTAAGTAAAGGGAAAACTGGGCATGGCAGTTGACACGAAAGGGTATCTGAGCTCTGAAAGAAAACTTTTACTGCCTCAACTCCTATTAAACAATTACACCACACAACGTCTGTGGAAGAACCACTGATTTAAAAGATAAGAAGTGACTGTGCTACACCATTGTACAGTTAATACAAACAGTTTGAACACACAAAAGTGAAGTGGACAATGTATAAGCAAAACTTTCGTTTCAGACTCAAACACTTTTATACATAATGTTTTATGTATCATATCCCCCTTTTAACATTTTGCCCAACTCCTGGTTTGTGAGACAAGAAGTTGGGAAGCACAAGTAAGATTGATCTCATGCTTTGTGGTCACTGAGGAAAAACAATTAGATTCTTTTAACTTCCCCCTTCTTCCAAATACTAGGTTTTTAAAAATTCCACTGGCTTAGTGGCCTAAAAATCCCTTGTTGCTTAGGGGCCTCAGTGTCCCTAGAGACCTAGAGAACACGGAAAACTGCACCCAGAAACACCCCTGGGCAAAGGCCTCAGCAGTAGTATCTGTGGCTATAGCCCAAACCTGTTAATGCTGTAAAAAGGAAACACTGGTGAACTCTGTGCTCCTACTGCCCGCATTTATGACTTACTGCATCCTTCCCCCTTAAAAAACAATAGTAATGCAATCTGTGAATTTTCATTACTTTATTCTACTATTTTGATTTTCAAGATAATACTACAGGTAAGATGATACAAAAAAAAATGTATGAAAAATATGAAATATTAAGCTCACAATCTTAAATCACCAAGCTTAGGAGAAAATATGCTGTCCTGAGACTCACCAGAAACAAGATTCAAACATCCATGGGCTTCAAACTAGAATTATCAGATGCAGTATATATAAAACAGGTATGAAACGTTTAAATACACGAATAAAATAACTGGCAGAATTGAAAACACTTCCACACAAAAACTGGTACACAAATGTTCACAGCTGCAATATTCATAATAGTCAAACAATGGACTGACAAATGGATAAAATGTGGCATTATCCATACAATTAATACTCACCCATAAAAAAGAATGAAGTACTGACACACTACAACATGGATGAACTTTAATAGCACTACACAAGTGAAGGTAGGCAGGCACTGAAGGCCACATATTGCATGATTCCACTTGCATACAATGTCCAGAATAGACAAATCCATAAGGACAGAAGTAGATTAGTGATTGTCAGGGACTAGGGGGGAGGAAATTTGAAGTGAATGCTTAGTGAGTTGGAAGTTTCTGGTGTGATGGGAATGTTCTGGATTTACTGGTGAAGGTTGCACAATATTGTGAATCCACTAAAAATTAAGAAATTGTACACTTTAAAATAGTTAAAATGGTGGATCTTATTTCAGTTAAAGAAAAAATCAAGGATTTTCAGAATATAACCTCCACCTCCTACACCAGTGCCTGGTATGTAATAGGTACTGAATAAATACTTCTGAAAAAGAATCTGGTTTTAAAAAAAGACCAGGCAGGTCTCAAAAAGAATCAATTAAACTAACTTTCAGAAACCAAAAGTATTCTGTGAATTTAAAAACTCAACGAATAGATTAAACAGTAAATCAGAAACAGCTCACTACAGAATTTGATGATATTACACAGAATGCAGCAAAAAGTAACAGTAGATATTAAACACAAGAGGTTAATACAGCTGAAGAGAATTCAAAGACTGATACCTGACACTCCAGTGTCACACATAACAGGAAAACACAGCAAATACAACTAGGCCTGAAATCGACTTGAAGACAGCAGAACTGACCACCTACATCTGGGGAAGAGAGACCCTATAGAAAAGGGTAACGTGACAAAGCCATGATCCAGGGGGATTCGAGAGCCTTCCTGCCACCCTGGCACACAGGTAGGAGGAAGAGGAACCCAGGACCCTGAACACTTGGCCCTGGAGATCTGCTCTAGGAACACGACAGTCTAAAAAGACAGTCTAAAAAGAATGAAGAAGTATAATCAGAGAGATAATGACTTAACTGTATCCCAGAAATGAAGACATGAATTCATATATCAAAGAGGATATATTCCAAGCATGATAAATAAGAAACCTACACCTAGATATACTTAATGTAATTGCAGAAAACCAAAAACATTAAAAAAAAAAAACAGAAAAAAAGATGACCTACGAAAAAACAATAATTACCTAAGAGCTGACCTCTCAATAAAAATAAAGCCAAAAGATATTATAATAGTCAAAGTGCCAAAAGAAAAATAGCTGTCAACCCGTCAACCCAGACTGTGTACCCATGTACCCAGGATCTAACAATTAAGTAGACCTTTTTCCAAATACATTGGGAAGCATATATAAAAGCTGGACCACAAGTCTCAAATTTTAAACAACCAGCACCTATGCTGACTAAATGGAATTAAATTAGAAAAACAAAAAGATGAAAGTATCCTGATACATTTGGAAATTTAAAAACATACCTCTACATTATGTGTCTGAGTGGTAATCATAACAGAAACTTAAAAAGTACTTAGAACTAAATACTAAAAGTACTACACATTAAAATGTAGAATACAACTATGGCAGTACTTGGAACTCAAAATTCAGTGACCATTCGGTTAAAACTAAAATTTGGTTCTTAGGACCAGTAAACCTACCTCTGGTGAAAGTGACGAGTAAGAGAGGTATAAGGAAAATACTATTATTAGGAAATAATATAAATAATTCTACACCAATAAACTAAAAAAAATAAAATAGACAAGTTCTTAAGAATAGAAAAAAACCATGATATATACAAATTGACCAGAAACAGGAAACCTTAAAAATACTTTTTGACTATTAAACAAAATTTATCAGTGCTTTAAAATTATCCATGAACAACAATTTTTTTGGAGGTAATTTGTATTGTATTGTATGTATGTATGTATGTATGTATGTATGTATGTATGTATGTATGTATGTATTTATAAAGGTATCGTTGATATATACTCTTATAAATGTTTCACATGAAAAAGATTGTGGTTACTCAACACAGTCACCCATATTATCAAGTCCCCTCCATACTCCACTTAAGTCACTGTCCATCAGCATAATAACACGCCACAGTCACTACTTGTCTTCTCAAAACACATGTGCTATCCAACATCTAGAGAATAGATTTTTCTAACCATATATACATCAATCTTTTGCAATATGAGGAAAACTAATATCTAACTCAATTCTAGAAATCTGGTATAACACAAGCCAAATATGAGAAAGAAAAATTGCAGGTGAATCTCAATCATCATCACAGATAAAAAATTCCTACACAAGATAGTCACAGACCAAATCATACATTTATTTAAAAAGGGGGGAGTGTTCTAAACCAGCAACACAGGATAGTTTAAAACTGCAAAAAAATAAATATAATTAATCTTACTAAATTTATAGGATAAATTCTATCTGTGATGGCTAATTTTGTATGTCAACTTGTCTGGTGCACAGATGGCCAGGTAACTGGTTTATCCGGGGTGATGGCGCGTGGGGGGGGGGCGGGGAATATGGCATCTGTGGGTAAAATTGTAACACTTCCGGATTATCTCGCCTGGCTTTGGTGCATTTGCACATCCTCAGGAGTGGAAAGCAGCTCATCTCCATGTCAATGGGTAATTACCTGGGCAACCGAGGGCGTGTCTGAACCTGAGAGGTTATGGGGATGGGCTGGCTTGTTTGCTTCCTTCCGGAACAGGGAGAGAGATGGTGCTGGACTGCAGTTTGTAAGCAATAAATGGGTTTTAAACTTTATTTTTCCCTAGAGGTATTTTGCCCTGGGATTTCCTCTCCCAGGACTTACAGGGGTGTTGCAAGGCAAGGCAAAAACCTCTTCCCAAAATCACACATAACAGGAAAACACAGCAAATACAACTAGGCCTGAAATTGACTTGAAGACAGCAGAACTGACCACCTA